TAATTTCCACAGTCACTTTAAACTTAACAACCTTTATAACACACGCTATAAATCACAGTGATTCACACACTTTACTTACAGTGCCTACTGTTCGCTTGACTCAATTTCAGCAGTAGGTGCATTAGAAGGACAACTGTATATTATATGCATATGAAGGTTCAGGATTAGGTGCATTAGATGGACAACTGTATATTATATGGATATGAAGTATAATTTCTCAATCATACATCAACAACTTCAGAGAAACAGTCAGTTACTCGGTAGGACATAGTGACACTTTATCAGGCTGTTATGAACTTTAATTTTTTTTTCAGAATGATATGGAGAAACACACATTTCCATTATGCCTAGTAATCAACATAAATTAGAAAACTTTTAAAGTGTTTTCATTGATTTGTATGAATTTTATCAGATGTTCTAAAGTGACACATCTAGTGCTCAGCTAGGAACTTTGGTGAAGTATTAGTGACAGAATAAGCTTCAGCCAATTTCATAAATTAATCAATTACCATAGCATGTGTCAATTACAAGTGATAAAGCTATTTTCTCAAATTCTCCATCAAATCTTTCCATAGTGCAGCTGATTTTTCTCTGAGTAGTACAAACAATACTGTGAATACACTACCGGTCAACATTCTTCACAAATATAGCCAAGAGAGTAGCCCTTGCAGGTTACATATAATACCAGATACTTCTTGATGTACACCAATTTTATTTTGTATCTGTAACTTTAATAAAAAATCTCTTAAGATCACTTAATCATGCCTTGTACTACATGCTACATTACTGGCAACAGGAGCTCATTTTCTCTGGTACCTGTAATGGGTAATTATAACATTCCAGCAGCAACCAGACCAGATCTAAGTCTAATCAGTGAGAAATCCATGTGCCACTAATATATAAATAACAAAATCTTGAGTACTGAGAATGTTGGAGTACTACAGAATGACTTGGATCAGTTTCTTAAGACAAATATTTGGCAGGAAATGACTGTTAATTATTGTAATTGCAAAATAATGCACCTGGGTTATCATAATTTGAATCACATATGTAACATAGAAGGGAATCATTCAACAGCATGACGGAAGAAGAAAAGTTAGTGGTCTGTTGCTATTAGCAATGCTAATAGACTGTATTCATAAACAAACTGATTGTAAGATGAAAGAGGCAAGTATTTTTTGTGCAGATCATTAGTTTGGCCTCATTCAGAATACTGTGCACAGTTCTGGCCTCCTTATATATTAAATGATACTGACTTACTGTAAATGGTTCAGAGGAGGGTACTATGATAATTTAAGGGTTTATTGAAGTTTCCAAGAGTGTCTGGAGGATCAATGGGACACAAGTTTAAAATTTGGAAAAGACATGCTAGGCTCCAATATAGACAATATTACTTTTCAAACAAGAAAATTGGCTAATGGTTTAACTTGCCATAATCAGCAGTTAGTAGAGGTCTGCACTTTATAAGAGTTTAAACTTTAAAGATGGAAACTATAGTATCTGAAAAATAATGAATGTATTTAAGCTTTTACTTTTCCTCAAAAGTGGGTGTACAAGGACAGCCATAAAATTAAACCTGAACAACCAAATGGTTCACTGTCACCCACATGTTACTTTATAAAAAGTAAAATTACTCACTGAGATACAAGAGTATGTGTATACTCTACCACTACCACACACCACAGTATCACTACCAGTAGTGCATAGTATCAAAAAATGAATACGTAATTCATGAATTAGCATTAGAAACTCATTAGACATTAATCGAGGAATATGTCTGATAGTTTGGCGTTCTCAAGTTACAGCTATGAAATAAAATGCTGAACTTAAAAGTTCTAAAAGGTACAAATTTTAGTCGACACAGTTACCACTACCAGTACTGCACTACCACAGTACCAGTACCAACTATTGAACTAACCAAGTTACTCCCGCCGGCTAAAAAAAATAAGTGAATTATAAATATAATATGAAAGTAGCAAATTTTTAATACTACTTGGCTAGACGTAAAATTTAGTTACTAGATAATTAATAAATTTGAAATCTATACCTCCCATCTTCAAATGTTTTAATCATCAATGCCTAAAACACGTATTTCGGGACTCCTCCATTAACTAATCCGAAAGGCTAAAGCACTTCAGAATCGTTTATTTTTTGTCTTCCTTTACAAAATGTACAGAAGCGCCCTCTAATATACTTTATTGAATAGACAGTTTCAAACTGTCAAGATAATATATTTAAGAGTAAAGTATTACTTGTAGATTATAAATAGATTGAATTCATTATACGAAATAGTCTTCATGTAATAGTATATATATTACGAATTCAAAAAAAGGGAAAATTGCAAAAGTCCATTCAAGAAAAAATAATAATAAAGATAATAATTAGAATAATAAACATCTTATCTTTAATTTTTAACCAAATTTAATACACCCCTTTACATACATGTATCTAACTGGTACATTCTAAAATAACTCAAATTAAAATTTCAGGGGTTTCGGTCAATTACTTAACTTTGTTTCGACCAGTTTACGTGGAATTTGGTACAAAGATTCTATTTTCAAGTCTTAAACAGAGATATAGATAGTTTTTGAATTTTTGTCTTTTGCTCAATTTTTCAGCGACGAAAGTGGAATTTGGGGTTTTCGTGAACTATTAATGTGTATATCAACCTATTTGCATGGGATTTGGTACTAAAATTCCTTCTTGCAGGTCTCAAGTAGTGATATAGACATTTTTTTTTTACTTTTATGGTGTCAAAACTGGCCATATTGGAATTGCGTGGCAGAGACATGTTGCATTCGCCCGCGAATGTTAGCCTCTTTTATTAAATATCATGTTTGGATATTGGAAAGGGGAGTTCATATGTAGTTTAGAGTAGGGTGATGGTAGATAATGGGAAGAGTTAGCTTAGCTCAATGGCTCTTTGCTGTGCCCTGAAAATGAAATAGAATTTGCTAGTTATTTTGAAGAAAGATGGCGCAACGAATCACTACAAAGAAATTATAAAACTTATATTAAAACGATCTTTTGGTTGGCATTGTGATCTGTATAGCTGAATGAAGCAGACAACGTTTGCCAACTAAAGTAGTGTTACGTTTCTGTTCGTTTGTTAATTTCCGGTATAAATACTTTCCGAGGAACTTCAGCGATGCAAATCCTTTCTTAAATAAAACTAGTTTATTCTTTCTCGATACAACTTTGTAATACACAGAATTTTTACAGTCACTTTAACTTAACTGCTTTTATAAACACACGCTATAATTCATAGCGATTCACACACTTTACTTACGGTGTCTACTGTTCGCTTGACTCAATTATCTATCTCTATATCTATCTATGCAATTTTATCTTTTTTTGCTGGCTTTATTTGCCGGGCTTGTATACTAAAAAAGAGGGCGCCTGGAACAAACTAGAGTTGGCAGGAAAATTCATGATCCTTCGAGAAACTCCAGCGCTCATGCTCCCAGCGTTGTATGACTTCTGCTGTCGTAACAGTAGGGATTGAAAATCGTCTTAAAATCTATCCAACTAGTATCACTTCATTTGTTTGTGTAATTTTTATTGCAGCATTTATTTTGTCTTGGATACTTATTATAGCAATTCTACGAATAACTAATGATCTCTACATTTCAATTAAAAATGTCTCAAAGAGTCTTTAAAAACCACATTAAAGATAAAAAAGTAACATTCTGCAACTCTTAAACGAAAAAGACACTTATAACTTTACATGTTACATAACACACATGACGTTTTAAGTGATATTAGAAGGGAAAAGTCACTCATAACTTTACAAGTTATACAGAGGTTGAATGCAATAATCTAAAAGGATTTTGATCATATACATCAGTAAATCATATGACAGCCATAGCCGATATAAAGTCGCGGTAAATCGGTGTTATCAGAACTACATTTTGAGATTATTTGGCATTTCATAGACAGTGTGATGCCACCTAAAGTATATTTTGGAAAGGGTATGAAACAGCCCCTTTCGAGGCGAAATATTCATACAGTCAGATCATGATGTGTTTAAATCGGAGATTTAGAATTTCGAAGGTGGGAATGCCCCTTGTTCTTAACGATATTGGGAAGAAAAAGGAATATGGATCAAACTGTGGCACCAGAATCATCCAGAAAAAAAAAATCTTCAACAATTCGTACCCCAGTCGTGGTAATCAAAATGCAACATCTTCTAACAGGCGAGAATCCACAAACACAAAAGCCAATGGCAACAGTGCGCGACGTAATCAAGTACGATCTTCGTCTGGAATTAAGGCCAATAAGGTGTTGGTTCACAAAGATAATACTTTCAGTTATACTGCCTGTTCAACAATGCATACCTCATGTAACTCGAAAAGAAAACGAATATTTATGTAACTCCATACAAAAATAAACTGGACAAGTTACGAGAAGCTGAACCCACAGATTTTTGTGCGATTGGACTGTTCATGTTATTTTTACACACATATGATTTTATTTTTATTTCTTTTGGTGACATTTTAAAATAGTACCTGCCTCATACTCTTACTAAAACCAGAATAATGTAAACACTAAACGTCGATTAATATAAACAAAATATTTTTGTTAATTCTGTTTTACGAATTAAATATCGTTTCAGAAAATTAATCATGGCAACTATTCTAATTTGTATATGAATATATGAATATTAAAATATCATTTCCGCGTAAGAACGAAAAATTTTATAGAATGAGCATGTTTTAGAACTCCAATCAAATTGCACGAACGCGCTGTTCAAAAGTTATTGTACTTCAACTGACGCATATTCGAATGTATTCAGAATACATATGTCGGCAAACTAGCCTGACGTGAATGAATTTCGTGCTCATAACTACTGCTAAAATTTTTAAGCATAGCTGAGTGAAAATCTTTAGAAGTGAAATTTTTATTCTTGGTGAGTGTTGAAACATAATTAAAGCTCAAGCTCACTAACAGTTTATCATAATATAGTAAATATTTATTCACGACGGGGAAATTTTAGGGCAGTTAGGCCTAACGTAGTAAAATATGATTAATTACCTTTACGGCACCGATTGCCAGGTTTTCAGTTTCATTCTAATTTTTAAATGCATAGCATCTTATCGGTAGTTAATATTAAGATTGTAAAAAAAAAATATTACTTTATAACAGTAATATAACCAACATTTAAAAAAAAACACCCATAAATTTCAAGACTTGGGCTGACGAAAGGCGTTTGATTGAAACGCCGTTAATGTTTTAGTATAAATTTGAGTTTTTAATACCATTTTAAATTTAAGTTCGCGTAATATTAGCCTAGGCTTAACCATTGTATAACTATATCATTATATGACTAAATTTTGGACGCTTAACGTTATTATGTCTAATAACCTGTTAGTGTTAGTAACTCTCAGGACAAGTCAAATTTGACTTAGTCAGTTAGTGTAACATTAGTTATAATACGACGTTCTTAAGTTATGTTGCGATACATATTTTATTTAATAAATAGATATAGCGTAGGCCTAAGTTATTTGCAACTTACAAGACCCGAGCATAAGTTCAATTTATGTACGTTTCTTAAGTTTATATCTAACATTAGGCTTAGTGTTGAAAGTAATATGTGACTAAATTTCAATAAGGCCTAATTTTTTTTTATATTGTCTTAACCTTACTGGTAATGTTACTTAAATTCTACTAATATTAGTAAAAAACCATCTATTGCGGACATCAGCAAATCAAGCTTGGTTAGGCCTAGCATACATACTAAATCATACTATTTACCAAGTATTGAATGAAGTAATAAACTCAACTTTAGGCCTGTGATTCGTTTAACGTTGTGTTTATTACTTTAGAGTCAGTGCTTATTACTAATAGTAATATAGTATAATATGAAAAGAGTGGTAAGTTATTTTAATAGGAGTTATTCTCACAGTGAACTAATTACGTAAATATTTTTTGTCGAAATTGCGTTTTCGCCATACTACAGTACACGGTGGTCCAAAATTATCCATCTATTTTAAAATTTAATAATTAACTAACTAAAGAAATACAACCATGCAGTTTTCAAATTATTGTAGCCCAACTCAAAATGTTTTTATTGATATGTCATCAGTAGACTTTTACGGCACCATTAGTGGCTCTTAACACATCTAATCGATATTCAATTTCAGTACACGTTCGCTGCAAAGTTACAGTGGCGATGGCGTCCATTCTCTTGGTCTTTAGATCCTTGATATTTACGATAAACGATATCCTTAACGTACTCCCATACTTCATTCTTGTACTGGCGTCTGTAATTACGCTGCACAACTGTGTGTTTTTCTTATAGCCACATCGTTTATCTGATGTGTCTACCGAAGGGAATCAAAGCCCGGATTTTAGCATTGTAAATCCGTAGACTGACCGCTTCACCACAGTCACTGACTTGGCCTCTGCAAGCCAAACAACGCATTGAGCTTTTTCTTGCACGGTAGCCATTTTACGGGGTAACACTACTCATTTGAGTGAATAAAAAACCAACATCCAAAAACATTATAATAAAAACTGTTTAAGTTGGGTTACAAGGTGTTGAAAACTTTATGGTTGTATTTCCTTAGTCATTTAATTATTGTATTTTAAAATAGTAATGATAATTATGGACCACCCTGTAATTGTTCGTTAAATTTAGGCTAAAATGGTAATAGACTATACATATCAGTAAAACGACACTGATGTTTAAAAAATGACAGTTTAATCTAAAACAATTATGGAATGATTCCAAAACAAACGTTGTGTTTGTTTTCCTTTTTTTTTATTGAAATAAATTACGTAATCATTTATATCATTAGCTTGTTTGTTTTTCCTTCCAACTAAGTTATGAAAACATTATGCACTACATTACCGAAAAATATTTTGGTACTTTTCAAACAATTTTCAATTGTGTTTTCCCTGTTGTCCTTAATTTTGAAATCAGAACATTACAACAGTAACATGAAGGTTAAGTAACACCTTTCTTTCAACACTCTTACGGTTAGTCAAAATCCAAATAATGCTAAATTGCTAAGCTATATTGTTTTTTAGCCGCAGCATAGCGGCTCATAAAACGGTTCTGAGTTGGTTTTTGTTTGTTCTTTATCCAGTACAAACTTTTAGCTCATAGCTCTGTCATCTCTTGACCTATTTCAGATCTAATTATAGTTTTGGCCTCAGGAGGTGAAACCCTTTCGATTGATGTATTTAACCACACACTAACTCTCATTGATTAGTTTACTCTAATCCGATTTCAGATCTAATTATAGATTATTTCTATATTATTTCAGGAGGTGAAACCCTTTCGATTGATGTATTTAACCACACACTAGCTCTCATTGATTAGTTTACTCTAATCCGATTTCAGATCTAATTATAGATTATTTCTATATTATTTCAGGAGGTGAAACCCTTTCGATTGATGTATTTAACCACACACTAACTCTCATTGATTAATTTACTCTAATCCTACTGAAAATAATCCAGTTGAGGGTAGGCTGGAAGAGATCCTGATAAGTAATAAAACCTAATGGGGTATGTGCGCACCCCACACTTGGTATTGTTGGCGCACAAAAATATAACTAATAAAAAGGGAAAACAAGAGGAAATCCTCAATAGCCGCGGCACTTGAAAGGTTTTGAATTTCGCGCAAAGCTATTTAAGGGCTATCTGCGCTAGCCGTCCCTAATTTAGCAGTGAAAGACTAGAGGGAAGTCAGCTAGTCATCACCACCCACCGCCAACTCTTTTACCAACGAATAAGGGGATTGATTACACATTATAACGCCCCCATGGCTGAAAGGGCAAGCATGTTTGGTGGGACGAGGATTCGAACCCTCGGCGAATCAAGCGCCTTAACCACCTAGTAATGACAGGCCATTTGGCAACAACCCTTAGACTGAACCGTTGTAAAATCGTTAGAAAGCTAAGCGAATTTAGTGAAAATATTCAAAAGCAGAGAGATAACATAGGTTAGATTGTCACATGTTTGTATTTTCGGCGGAAATAAACTTGGAGAATTTGTGACAGTTGGATAGTAAATTCTGAGATTGTATCAAATCAACTTCTTACATATTTTTCATTAAAATAACGGTGAGGACATTTTTGCACCAAGTAACAAGGGATCTGAACGAAGTTTAACAAAATCGATTTAAGGAAATTATGTAATTCACCTAATGCGACCATAAGATATTTGTTTGAAGATTGGTATCAAGTTGGAGTACTCATACATTTCCAAGACATTAGTAATACATATGTAAACGAATCTGTTAATCTTTTGCTATCCTGGTGGTTAAGGCCTGTGTGTCGCGGGAGCGAAACCTATCGCCGAACATGCTCTCACATTCAGTCGTGCGGGCATTACAATGTGATGATCAGTCCATTATTTGTTAATAGAATAGCCCAAGAGTTGGAAGTTGGTGGTGTTGAGTATCTCTCTATCTAACTAGGAACCGATAGCACTGATAGTCCTCGAGTAGCTTTGCGCGAAAATTCAACAAACAATTTTAAATCTTTTGCAGAAACATCAATAGGAAACCCCGTAATTTTTTTTGATGAAATTCGAAGTAAGAGTGTTTATTGTTAAGTATGGCTCTCTCGGTGTTTCATAATGTAAAAGTGGTTATTGTTAAGTATCCCTGCTTCCGTATTTGATATGCGAGAAATATTAAAGCTAGCATTTCTGCATCTTCTAAAGGTAATGTCAGAAGTGCAGTAGACAATTCCGTATAAGTTAGGTAAATACTTACGATAACTTATCTCCCTTTTTTTCTGTGGCATTCTACAAGTATACATCTGATTTTTTTGGGTTGTAAATCATGGGAAAGTTGAAGAAATTAGCCGTGAAATCGGATTACCTATGATACTGAAATAATATTGACTGTCATTCTAGAATTTGGATAGAAAATCTGACAAAAGTCGTAAGTGATTTGTTACCAACTCCAGTGCTGTTTGATACTTCACAAAAGTACGTGTATCAGCGGTTTAAGCAGAAATTAAGCTTTTCATCGTTGTCTGCTATTTTGTAGTACTATAAACGAGGAAGTATAAAATATTTAAAGTTATGTTACGACAGCGGAAGTCACGCTGGGAGCATGCGCGTTGGAGTTTCTAGAAGGATCATGACTTATCGAGGAATCTCGCGAATGTCCTAGTGTTTGCCAGGCGCCCTCTTTTTTAGTATACAAGCCTGGCGAGAAAAACCAGCGCGATTGAAGAGATAGATAGATTGAAGATAGATAACCTTCATATC